GTTTTATGATCTTATATTACAATATTTACAACTCAGCCTGTATTCATTAACGTTCATTTATATATATATATATATATATATATATATATAAATGAACGTTAATGAATACAGGCTGAGTTGTAAATATTGTAATATAAGATCATAAAACTGTTTGAGAAACTTTTACCACGTCTATGATATTTCATTCAATACAGTCGCGAATTAATAATTTATTCTTAACCAAATGTCCGCAACATACTGTACAATAATTTATAATACTCATAATTTACAATACTTATAAATTATAATCCATCTATCTATTCCCGGCTTCTGTTTCTGCCAAAGTGTTTGGCCACCAACACACAAATCACTTCAATTGGCTCCTACTACATATTCCACCTGACGACGGCCCCGTGGTCTCTTTCCTTTTAATTTTCAATCAAATAATACTTTAATTTCAATATTCTCGCTATGCCTCATTATATGACCCAGCCATCTTGTATCTGGATTTTAGTAATTATTGTAGTCATTGTTCGCAGGCTTTTTATGAAGTTATTGACTGTCTTTAACTCCCTATTAAACTTTCTTTGCCACATGTCAGTCCTCACATTTATAATTGGACTCACATATTCTTCTTCATATTATACTTACAAAAGTTTTCAATATTTTTTTAGTAACACTAATACTCTAATAATAATCCATACTTCACAACCATATGTTAATTAATATAAAATGTAGGCCTTATTGTTGCTAATTATATGGTAATTTTTTTTTTAGAATAGCTTGAAAAACTTAAGTAGCGCAAAAAAAAATTTTTTCAAATTGTGTTATTTTTGCCCCTCTTGCGTGACCAATCATTTTTCGTGCTTAGTGCACACCGAGGTACTGAAACAGTCTGACTATTCTGTAGACTAACGCTACTGTATTAATTTGAAAATCAATTTATTTTGTTTTTCGTTTCAGTGCTGTAAGAATATAAAAAACTAGATACATACCCGTCATACACAATGGATTGTATTGCATTTTATATTTGGTAAGTCAACAAAGCGTTACAGACAAACGGATGAACGGGTCACGGCTTTTATGTATATTATATATTAATATAACCAATATCAATAATATTAGTGTTTAAGACATTTAAGACAAAATCTTATTATACATTACACGTACCTAAATCTGTATGCACACATATGCGGTTGAGAGAAATACAGAATATGTTTAACAAAATCTGCTGTTGCTACTGGAAATCCCATTGAAAACCCGAAATCATCACACTCGTCTAACAATAATTAATTAAGAGCTTACGCGATTTTAATTCGACCTCCACCGCCGCCATATCCATTTCCTGGTGCACAACAGCACTTCCTCAATAAATAATGCGGACGAGCTATACGGGAGTGCTAATGCTACTGCTGTTCTTCCGCCGTTCTTCCACTTTCGTTGCGCAATTATTCGCGTACGTCTACAGCTCTTTCCTAATCACTATAATATATTGTATGACATAATATCTCTCTGTCTCTTTATTTTCTCACTATTTAACGAGGTATTAAATCGAAAATAATAATATTATCATACTAGTCAATGAAGTTAACTTATAATAATACTGTTATGACTGCTCAGCAGGTGAGGCGGATAATGTTTTTATTATCATTTTATATAAATTATAATAAAAGTGAGTAGCAGAACTCCGTAAATAGAGTCAAATTTTCCTCAGGATGAATCGTTGTTGTTGAAATATGACAAGGGTTTTCGTTGTATTGTACATGTATTTGTATGGTGCAGTACATCAAGCCGCAATAAAAAGTAAAAAATTCAACCATGTTAATATAAAATCAAATAAAATAAACAGATCTAATATAAAATAACATTAGCACGAAATTAACAGCAGTAGGCTAAGTTTTAACACATAAGAGATATTGATAACTCAAATATTTTAGATCTATATCTTGGTTTTTGATAGAATGAATATTCTCTCGGAAAGCACGGACATGGCAGTTTATACGTCCACGAGCTGTAAATAAAAGTTGTTCACTTCGTGAAAGGCAAGAAAAACTTGCTGAGGGTTCAAGACACACTCCCACACAGAGTAAAGTATTAAACGCCATAAAACTTACACTATTTGTCTTTTTGTGTGACAGTATATTATTATTATTATTCTATGACTATGACTGTAAATACCATAAAGTTAGCAACAGTATTATAAAAAACGATATGTTATAATATACGTGCCTATATAATATTGTGTTAATTGATGCAGAGCGTGATTGGGTTGAATTTGTAATAATCGAGGAACAAATAAAAATCCTATAAATAAGAAAAAATCTGTGGAAAAAATTCACGATATTTAACATTGATGTATTACAGAAATTATAAAATATCTCAATATTGAATATTGCAATATTTGTTGGTTCAAGGAATTTTCTAAAACGTGATTTCTTGTAAAATCATCTACATTATAATGTAGTAGAGTAAAAATGGCTGTTGACGACTCAAAATTATATAAATTAATATTTATAGTGTTATTATCGTTTAGATGAAAATAATATAATATATAAGCATATTAAATATGATATCTTTGATTAATTCCCGTCCGGTGGATAACTATCGATAACGATACGCTGAATGTAATACTGATTATAATACAATATTCCAACAAAAAGAAAATTACATATATAAATAAAAGTAAGGATAATAAATAAAGCGATCCTTGCGAACGTAGTGTATTATACGTAGGTATAATAATATATAACCTGTATAGTGTACACGCGCTCAGTCATGGTTATGATAAATGAGTCGAACAAAATAAAGAAAAAATAATACAATATAAAATATATCTAAGTATAAAGTACGAAAAAAATATAACCGCGCAGATAAGATCGGTGATTGTCGTCGTTGCGATCGAACGTTGGATAACGCGGTTGGTACGGATTACGAATAGTAATTTCAAATAATAATAATAACCAATAACCTAACCTAGAAAATTCTCAGATACAAACGAATTTGTCTCATACTTTATTTATGTCATTGTAAGAAATTTTAATTGTTGCTTTTTTTTTTTTGTATATTTAGGACCTACAAAGCTATTTTGCTAATTTACAGTTTTAAGTGCCGTTTATAGGCATCGTTTTATATTACAAAGGATAAACACTTATTGTTGAAAAAAACAAAATATTTTTAATAAAGCAACAGTTAAAAAATAAAAATAAAAATGATATGCATACGAAAACAACATATTTTGATTGTTAAATAGTTGAGACATGGCGTTATCGATGTATTAAATATGCATTACAATGAATGTATACAAAGATTTTAATTTAGTATTATCTTGCATATTTTCCAATCTTTAATTCTATTTATAGCACTTATTTTGGTGTTTTAAGTTAAGTTTAAGTTTAGTGCATATTATAGAACTAAAAGTAAGTACTATTAACTTCCGAGACCTGAATAAACCGATACAAACCAGTAACACTAAGTAATATAAATATAAGGTCTTTCGATTTTCAGCAATTAAACTAAAGACCTTCTTTAGGGTGTAACCAATCGTTTACTGAAATTTGTATTACAAAATTCGCAATTGCATGGCATATTATAGAGCGCGTACGGACAACATTCATAAATTAGTGTACGTTATTAATAATAATGAGAATACTAAAATACGATGCGATAAAACCATGTTCCCGGTAGAATCTCAAAGAACATAATGGTGGAAGGGAATATCATAAAAGCCCAAAACCGACCTGGGTGACCGTACATGAGGGGGGGGGACAAGCGGACGATTATGATGATGAATGAACATGGGACTCGTTTAGCAGTGTGTGTACACCAGAGCATTACTATTATATATACTTTTAAAGTATCACATCAACCTAATTGTTCATTAATTTCAATAATAAATACCCTGACCATAATATTCCCAGCAACGTTTAAAATAATGTACTCGAATCTTTTGCACTCGTTTAGTATAGTAATAATATTTTTGTAAATTTTTTTTATAGCCAGATATAATATTCCCAACTTCGCGAGTAGGTCATTTTTTGCAAGTGAGTATGGTTAGGAAGGTATATGATAATAATTTGTAAGGTAATTTTAGTTTACATACCTACTGTATGCGTCGAATATAAATCATTGCAAACGAAAAACGATTCCGAAGGGATTAATAATCTATTTAATCGTGTTTTTCGTGGACAACCAAGAAATTCACCAAGAAAGTGTTTTAAACTAAGTGTTATTTTTTTTATTTTTGTTAAAAACTGTATTATCTTTAGTGATAACATGGAAAATAATACGAATAATATATATTATTCAGCTCAGATCCGTTTTTTGTTTGCGATGGTCAATCGTTACATGTATAGTAGGTATACTAACTATACCCTAATGTAGTGGCCTATGCGTGATGCGAAGTACTTATATATTTGCCTTATTTATTTACTCGAATTTAACTATAATAATAGTCATAAAATATATAATTATAACGTGTAAGTGCATAATAGAACGAATATTTTTAAAGTTTAAACACCTACAGCGTTAAATATAAAATAAAATACGATTATGTTATTCCATTATTCTCTACACTCGAACAGATATTACTGCTGATTACTTTTTAACGTTTACTCGGTATAAATCGACGAAAATACAATTTTTCGAGCCACGGTGAATAAAAGAAAACATTTTGCGTACACCGGGAATCTGCACAGAAATAATAATAATATACTCGTAATATTCGGTTATTTTAGAAAAAATAAAAACAGGTGAACCCGCGTTATAATATAAAAAGACAAATTTAATCGAATTTAGAAATTAGCTGGTAAAGAAATCGGTTTTATCGATGGAATTTCACTTATAAACACTTTTCATTTTTCTGAGAATCTCGTCTTATAAAAGAACAAACGTGACGTCCCTTCGAATAAAAATCATATTTTCTTAACAAGTATTACACTAAGTCGTAGGAGTACAAGTAAATGTTTTTTGGGATAAAAAAAGAAACACTAAGGTACTTACATTTTTGATTTTATTAGAACAGCACGATCGATAAAGCCAAACAGTTTGTTTAGCGTAATTATCAAATAATTAAAAAAAAAAAATAGCACGAGTAGTAGTTTAGGTATAGTTCTTATTATTATTATTATTTTTGAACACCACGCGCCTGATTTTTTAGGTACCATACTCCCCCCCCTTAAATTAATACTATGTACTTATACATCACTATAATATATCGGCATAATACTTTTTTAGATGCATAGGTATCTTGCAAATCCCTGAGAATTTTATTCCGCGTATATGTTTGCACAGCTGCCAATGTTTAAATAATGAATCGGTAGGTAGTAGAGTAGGTATACGGAAAACTCTTTTGCCGCTCGGCCGTATTATAGATACCGGAACCACGGACGAAATAAGATTATCCCGTATAGACAGCCGTATAGACGCAGTAGTTGCGCGGCCTAATCCCCTTTTCTATACCGTACCATTCGAAACGTGCCGATAAATATTTGAAGACCGTATCGAATGGACGGACAGACGGTTCGGAGAAAAAAAAAAATAAATAAACAACCGATTCAATTAATATTTCAACGGGCTCTGAGATAATAGGATAATATTGCTCGTGAGACGGAAGCTGAAAATTTCTCCGTGGTGAAGATTTCAGGAAAACCGCTACGAGCTACTTTGATATAGAGATGTAAGCATTTTTTTTTTTTTTTTGCTGTGAGCAGAATAAGACCCGTCGAAAGTAGTTAAGAATTTTAACATTTCAAACATGTTTATTTTCAAATAAATTTAACGTAAAAGAGCTTTTCAAAATAATAATTGTTTATTAATTATGAGCAGCGTCGGAAAAGCGTATTGTGTGGGTCTAAAATGTTTGAAAATGAAAACTGCCTAGAAGTGAAAGCTATAGAAGCATGTTAGAATAAAATACTCAAGGTTTTGTGACGTAACAGAAAATTAAAATGTTTTAAGAATAACTAAGGGAAAAAAGAGAACTTTGGAAAATTATAAAAAATTGATTTGATGAAATAATGATAGGTTACGTTATACTGCCTGATAGTTTGTAGAAGTTGATTGTTAAAAATTAAACTGTAGAAGGCAAAATCAGAAATGCAAGACTAATGATAAATTAATGTATAGGTTCAACAATTTTTTATAGATTTAGGACTTAAAAGTTATTGGAAGTTGAAGGATTCGAGCTTTGACAATGAATTATGGATAACTGTATCCAACCAATTAAAAAATTGTCGCATAATACTGAAGAAGATTCCTTGGAAAATTAAGGAAGTAGCAATGTGTGGTCAAGAAATACGTGGAAGAACTAGGAGGAGAATTAGATTGAAAGGCGTGAGCATCAGACCAAGATAGACGAAAGACTGGATGTATGACTGGAAAGTCTTAAAGGTCGTTCTTTACCCCCCAAAAAGAAGAAGAAAACTTCCGACTCGCCATGTAAGATACAAAATCCATATTTTATATTTATACTTTTTTTTTTTATAATGACTTTTCTATGTTATTGTATTATTCATAATATCTTGACAAACGCAAAAGGTGATGTTGATGTTTTTGGGTTGTAATTGATAGTAATTATATTATTATAGAGTCACGCGTTTAATTAAATCGGACTAGTCGAATCGGGGATACGCTATACGAAATTATTCGTCACGACGATGTTTTAGGGTGTGTCGGGTGCGTTTTCTCAACAGGTGCTCAACCTCTAAATCCCTTCGTACATGGGATAAAAGCCCTCAGGATTACCGATGTGAACGGAGTATAATATACGCAAGGTAAAAATACACCCCTCTTCATCACCACGAGCCATATTCTTGTCACCGGATATAACCAACCGGATTTTAGCGTAGGTCGGTTTACGTCATCGTCGTCAAAACGATCGAGTTTGGTCTCGTCACTGGGCTGACGTAAATCCCGTAAACAGATTTGCAATTACGGTAACAAGAGAAGATAGCAGGGAGGAACAAAGGTAAAGGCCAAAAACTGAAATGTGTATTTCACGAAGAAGAAACAATATTTCATCAATTCAAAGCTTGGCAAATATTACGGAAATACATATTATTATAATATTATGATTTCAGAATAAAACAAACGAAAAAGAAACATATTTATATAACTATTAGATATATATTAAATTGTAATACATTCATTTTAATGATTACCGAAAATATTTTAAAATGGGAAAATCTAAAATATTAAAAAAAAAAAAAAAAAATTGTAGTGTAATATGCTCTGAGTAACGATTTTCCAACTCGGCACTATATGCGAACGATATTATTTTTCTTCGGATAAAAGTTGTTTAAATTTTCTCTTCAACAATTTTTTTGGATTGAAATTATTTTTATTTTCCATTTATGACATTGTGTACATGAATATGATAGTTTAATTCAGTTCCCTGCATAGGTAGGGAGTTGGGAGTTAAATCCCCCTTCCATTGGATTAAAAATACAACAACTATGAGTGTTTATTTGGTAGTTTTATCTTAAAATTATATAACTTACTCAAATCGTAAGAAAAAAGCTTGATTTGTTGAATACAAATTGTATTTGGACGGGTTAGATATAACGTATAATAGAAGAAGATCCTCCAATTCAATCATCTCTTTAATAAAAAATTCTTGGGCATGACACTAGTTTTGATGGAATAGTAAAAATGTCTAAAACAACATTTTTGACCAGAAAGTCAAATACAAATTATATTAGAATATCCTATTTTGGTAATAGAAGAAAATAAAGAGTGAAATATAATTTGGTCTAGATTTACTATACACATACATATTTTATATTTATGGTGACGTGGTCAGCGTATATCAGTGTTTCTCAACCTTTTTACCGTTGTGAACCCCTAAATGAATATTTAATTTTTTAGTAACCATTTAATATAAATTGTATACATGATGACCTAATATTTTATATTTTTGGTGGTGCAACTTGTTTGAGCACTTATACAAATTTTTACCTGCAACTCGATAACTCGTTTGCACACATTTAAAATAGGTTTTACCTCCACTGGAAGTTTCACACTGGATTATACACAGTACACAAAGTAAACACACAAAAATCGTTTAACTAACGTAAGATGTAATATTAAATATTATTCAGAAGATAAGATACAAAAAATTGATAAATCAAATATAACCGTGTAGATAGGTCAATACTCGAAAATTTAATTTTTTTTTTCAATCAGTTTTTCGCCAGTAACTAGATGTGAATAGAGTATAACTAGTAACTACAAAAATATCAGTGCCTATGGATATTCCAGTTTGTAATATTTTTTAATACTCGAACACACACACACATTTTTAATTAGATATTCCTAAGCCTATATTAAAGTGAGAGCGGAAATGTGATTTGCTGAAAACGAATCGTAAAATGGTAAATGTACGCAAATGAGTTCTATCTTTTTTTTTTTAAACCAAAATTTGTGTACGCAAACGAGTTGTGCATTTTTGTGTAAACGAGTCATAAAAAAGGTAAATGTACGCAAACTAATTCCACCTCATTTTTGGCGCCACCAAAGGGGTTGCGACTTCTAGTTTGAGGAACACTGATGTATACGGTGGACGCCTCCCATTGCGAAGATTGTATTTCACAGAATATTGTTAAGTCTCACCAAAAGGTTGACTTATATCAGCCACAGGTAGGTAAAAATATTTTGCACGTTATTTCGTATACCTACTATTCTAAAAGGAAATAACCTCGATGATGGAATCGACCGAATTCAATTTGAACGTTCCATTTGAATTGAATTCGGGGAAATGGTTTTTTTTTTATATATATATATATATAAATTATTTTTCTAAAGTTTAAACGCAACCGGCTGTTCGCTCAACGATTTCCCGTGATGCCATTAAACACAAAATATGTGTTCACTATAGCTAATAAATCATTACAGAAATACCTACCGAGACAAGTTCGGAATTTATGTGCTTTATTGTATATATATATATAATATTATATGGGCGGAAAATTGATAGAAATGAAAAACACGCAAATTCAATAAAACGTTTCCAGCACTGGGTCCCCGATCATTGATTTTTAAATAGTACCGAATGTTTTAAATTTATACTCAAAAAGAGAATATTCTATTTTTATAATATATTATATATTATTATGCACCTTAGCACAAATTGTAGCTATATTTACTCGTCCTCTCTAATAGCTGCATCTTCCTAGGAGAATTTTTAGCAAAAGCAGTAATTATATCATTTTCATTAATGTCTTATTTGTTTATTTATATTACTAATTGATTCTATTTTCCGACATAGTGCTCTTCCTTGGATCGTTTTCAAATGGTTTGGTGAAGAAAACGTTCTTCAGGAGTGTAAGAAATAGCATGAAACGTAGTAAACGTTAGAAACACTCAAATTGTAAAATTGTATATTTTATACATAATCATGGCCAATAGGGAACGCTATAGTCCCTTTATCTCAGTCCCCCTAACTATGCTTCAAAGATGAATGATTATTTATAAATATTTTGTTAATAGAATCTTTGAACAATAACGTCAGTAATGTCTGAAAAATAAAATCGAAATCAAATTTATTCGAAAATCTACGTAGATAATCGCTAAATAAATAGTAGTTATTACTAATTATATTTTTATAAAGAAGTTGTAAAATTTGAAATTTGTTGCTTACCGTTTTGTAGCATTTTAAAGGGAATTAAACTTTAAACGATAGTCGTCATTTTGTTATCGACGGGTTTTTTTTTTTTTGAGTACAGGTCATATATTCGAAATATATACGTCTATAAAATATTGCTAGCTACATAAACCTAACCCTAAAAAATGTTAACCACGATAAACGTATACAAAATTCTTATGTACGTGGTTATAAAATTATAAAAATATATCTAAGTACAAATATAGCTATAATGTTATATCCTCTACACTCAAAATGTAAAAACGAGAAAATTACGTACAAAGAAATTTTTTACGTGTAAAAATAAAAAAATAATTTATTCCTCTTGCATAAAAAATGTAAATATAATGTATTATATATTATATATAAAAAAAAAAAACAACTAACGATTTAAGGACATTTAAATCGATCGATAACATGATACAAAGTGAATATAGACATTATACAGCCTTCTTATTCGATAACACAGACACTAGACGCGATTACGGTCATCGAATTTCAGGTAGGTACCTAACCTAACCTATCTTATAAACTTATATGTATGTACGATTTTCGTATTATTCCCAGTTGGGATATTTGAAAAGTTCGGATTTCTTTTCGAAAATTCACCGGCGCGAGAATAGTTACGCAGTACGCACCTGTAAATGTTTTATTATTCTCGATGAACTTTATACCGATATAATAATATAATAACACACGTACTTTAAACACATTCTCTTTAGTTTTTCAAAACTAAGTGGCAATAATGGTAGTATGGAAAACAAAAACTCGTAAAATATAGAAAATACGACGCACCCGCCGTTTCCATAATATAATATTATAGGTTCGTTTCATCAGTTATGTTAACCGTGCCGTCTGATAGGCTGAAAACCAGTGTTGAGCATTATTTAGATAAATAATTGAGTTATCTAACGTAATTCTTCTAGACAAATAAATATATATATTTATCCGAGAAATTAAAAAAATTGAACTTAAAAGTTAAAACCCATGTCTCATTAGTAAACCAACATTGTACAAATAGAGAACGAAATTAAAAACATAAAGTAATAGGTAATATAATATTATCCGGGTCGCTTATTTAAGTTACTTCTAAATTCTAATAGAAATTGTAGATTTTAAAATCTATTATAAATCGACACAGCAAATATACGGGCGGTATAGACACATGCTCCAATACGTGTAGATAACCATGAGTTGACAAAACTATATAGACCGATAGTCTTATTGCTTATAATAATTTCTCAAAGTAACATTGTTAGAAATACGAGATGATGAACACTGTATGCTTGAGAAAACCGTAGAAGCCAACTTTGTTCAATCCTCCATCAGAATGATCAGTAGATCCCCGGGAGAGCTCCACCCACCATTGAAATATGTCCATCATAACTCATCCGCCCACTGGTACACATGAACCAATGGATATCTACAGTTCATTACAGAAATAATCAATAATAACCGATATTTGTTTTACAATATATCAATGATTGCCGTTTTCTTTCTAAACATTTTGCAAAACATAAACCTACTTTTGTTTCTATTTAATTAGTCCATTTTTTAGATACTGAGCAGAACAAGGGATGTATTGGTTTTAAAATGATGATTATTTTTATTTTCTGTGAAGAACTTTTCTACCAGAAATTTTTATCTGATTTTAAAATTTAACACTTTTTCTGAAAAAAAATCTGATTGATTTAGTATTTTGGGAATTTTTGATTTTCCCAGGGGGTTTTCATATTAAATGTGGAAAACCGTAAGAAAAACGAGAAAGTTTAGGAAATGTATTATTTTTTAATCGTATATACTACAGCCTTTTAAAACATGTATAACTAAACTCCACTCAGAATCGTTGTTCGTTACCAAAGATCTTTGCGTTCAGATATACACTAAATTCTCCTCTATATCCTAACTTCCCAAATTTTCATCTACTACAGTGTCCCACCCATCGTTCGAAGTATGTCTATATTTTTTTTTATACCATCCTATACAGCGGTGAATGCAGACCTTAATTTATTTTTTTTATTTTGGGGGTAGAAAAATAACCCTATTCCTCACTCCTGAATCGGTCAATGGTCTTATAAAGAAATATTTTATAATTTAATAAAAAAAAAAAATCGAGTTTTATATCGTGTTCTAAATATTATTATATACCTGCTGAAATACGCGGGTATTTTTGGTTACTCAACTTCGAACTATTGTTTATACATAAAGCATAGTCTATACGGAAATTGTGTCAATATTACACTGAAGGGTCAATATATACGACGGTTACAACGGTGTCAAAGTTATATAGAAAGATCTAGCGCTGTCAGAGAACTCTTACGCCCGTGTACGGCTTTTACAGTGAGTAAACATACTGCTATATAATTTATATAATAGTAAAACGTACACAAATTGTTGTTTGTCGTT